TCCAAAWTAAAACCACTTTCCAGTCCCTCTAGACGTTCACCTACGTGGACATATATWATAATTTTTGTTTACTAGTAAATTTAAAAAAGTTAGTTAATATACACGTAATTTACATGTAACTATGATTTCAATGATATTTCCCTTGTTTCTAGTTGTTTTAAATTCTAATTTTAATTCTATAATTTGTTTTTAATTCTATTCGAAAATGTCTGAGAGTCTAAGAAAAAAAAAACTGAGCTAAGAAAATATACTATCAGTTAAACAAATTGTTTATGATATTCTCACTGCAAAAGCCAAAAAAGCCCAAATTTTGACAGACAAATTGGGAACTATTAAAGATTAACATGTCGAGAATAATCAGGGCTATCTGGGAGATGTTTTTCTAAAATATTATGAGTGATATGAATTATATAAAGCTTGTTTTGTAGTGTCGGTTCTGTTTTTGAAGGCCCGTTTCACTGGMGATTTTTTKGATCGGATCAAAGAAAACGATGCTAAAGTATTAAGGCTGATTTACACGGCACGATTGTCTCGTGCGACTTGTAGTATACGACTTGMATCGCGCAGTGTAAATGCCCCTASGACTTGTCTACAACAGTCGTRCGCAACCTACGACTTGTAGTAGGGTTTTGAACCACTGCTTAAAATCCTACGACTTGTAGTAGGAAAATCGTATACTACAAGTCGCGCGCGACAAATCGTACCGTGTAAATCAGCCTTTAMCTTGTAAACTTTTATTCACTTCACTGATATGAGCTAACTAAACGTTTCTTCAGGAGGATATGACAAAATCCTTTAAATTTGAAAATCGCCTGAAAAAATCACCGCAAATTAAAAAGCAAAGAAAAACGACATTGAAAATAAGACACAGTTGAGTTCTTCGCTTTCGATTGTGATGTCTCAACATGGCCGCCAATCTGTTTTGAATCTGAGTGGGTTAGGTTTTTAGTACGCATCTTCGACGGTGGCCGGACGTCACCTACCAACTAACACAGGATCTTTACTAACTAACAAATATTTTGAATCATAGAAAAAGATAGGAAATTACGAGGAAGAACAATGCTATTAAACATATAATCTCCCGCAATGAAATTCGATGATTTTTTAGTCATATACAATACAAAGGAAACTCGTTTTGCCTCTCACTGATTTTTAATGTTTTGAATGAGGAGATAATCATGTTCAGTCCGTAAACAGTCCATATCAAWGCATGCACCGTCTCATGTTCAGCAATTTCAGAAAACGTTGGATGCTCAATATTGATATGGGATAGCGTATTCCAAGGAGAGCATCACTGCTCATTCTATCGCCATTAAAAAGTAGTCATGATCTCAGAGTGATTATAAGGGCAAAAATTTCAATGTAAAGAAATTAAGTTTAGAATTGTCATTTTTTAACGTTCTTGACGTGGAATTTGATAGTAACAATGCACTGCGCGCTCTTGGAAATATATATAAGGCGTATAAAAGCGACTTAACTATCTTTACCAAAATGACCGCTGTTTATMAGCATATTCGTTCTTTTCGACCAGAAAAAGAGCCCTGAGATGCTATAGATGCAGTACTTATTAAGCTTAGGCTTTCTGTAGAATTTCAGTCAGTCTATAACTTTTTTTATAGATATTCATTTCAAATTACAGAACATTCATGTCAAGAGGTCCCGTATGCCACATAACCCAAGGCATCCATGTCTCGAAACCTAAAATGGTTTAAATAATTGAATAACTATACTGCACTAAGTAAAGTATATTTTTTAATACTTCAGGATTGTTTATGTTAAAAAAATTGATAAAAA